GAACAGTCCTTGAAGCAACACTGAGTAAGTCATAAGAACAGCCATATTGGGTCAGACCAAAGGTCCATCTAGCCCAGTATCCTGTGTTCCGACAGTAGCCGATGACAGGCGCCCCAGAGGGAATGAACAAAACAGGTAATCATCAAGTGATCCATCCCTTGTTGCTCATTCCCAGCTTCTGGCAAACAGAGACTAGAGACACCATCCCTGCCCATCCTGGCTAATAACCATTGATGGACCTGTCCTCCATGAATTTATCTAATTCTTTTTTTAACCCCGTTATAGTCTTGGCCTTCACAACATCCTCTGGCAAGGAGTTCCACAGGTTGACTGAGCACTGTGTGAAGAAATACTTCCTTTTGTTTGTTTTAAACCTGCTGTCCATTAAGTCTAAATTCTGAAAGCTGTTCTCTCCCCCGCTCCCCCTCAAAAGTAAAAAGAAAGCTCTTTCACCTTGGCCAAGCTCATGGCTCTTCGTCTGTTGGTACTGAAATATGTGGCTTCTTTTAAATCAATACTGAAATGCATGGCTCTTCCTAATTCAGCTCTTGTTCCAAGATGACAGTGTACTATTGAGCTGGTATTTACCCCCAACATGTTTATGTGTCCACAGGAAATGCAACGGGGCCTGGACTGGAGGGAAGGGAGTCTTGGAGTTGTGTGGCCCACTCTGTTAGTGCCTGTCTTCTTTGCCTGGATGAGCTGGGGCCAAAGACAGAAGAAGAGAAGCTGGGGGGCAGGGGGAAGGAGGAGGAGAAATCAACCTTGTAATTAAGGATCCTGCCCACTCCACCTGGATATATAAATATATATTTTTAAAAGTTATAAGAGAGGAAAGGCTGCCATTGCAACCAGTTGCAAGCCTCCCTTGTGGGAGCACCAATAATTCAAGGAGGGTTGACATAAGAACCCTGTGTCTGGTTGGCTCTTGGGGACGAACTCTTCTGCTCATTTCTTTGGTGCCCTTGACTGATGGACTGTATATTGACGTGTGAACAATCCAGAATGTCCAATAATACCAACAGGTGGGGGAAGAGGTTACACTGGTCAAAAGGTGTCATTTCTGAATTATCTCGTAGTGGAAAGCTCCCAAATAGGGGAGGAGTATGGCTAACAGACATACCATAGAGAACCTATCTAAGGTATTTGCAGTAGACATAAACAAGTCCACATGATCTATGGGCAAAGAGCTTTAAAGATTTTGATTATTCCTCTTGAAAGAAACCAGGAGCGGAGGACAAAGGAAAACAGTGTCTTTGTTAATATTCAAAAAGTTAAAAATACCTTGAGGCAGTATCATCTGATCTATTTCATGCAGAATAAAATGACTTTCATTTTGACTTATCTTGATGACAGAATCTAAGGCAGATTAATAGAAGTCTGAAAAAAAAAAAAAAAAACACACCGCACAGGAAATGCTAAGATGCCAGCCAAAAGCTGTGGCTGATTTAGGAGCAGCAGCAGTCAGGCACTCCTTTGCTGTCAGTCCTGAAAGAACTGACAGAGGCACTACAGGCTAAGAAACTGGCAGAAGTGAGGAAAGAGAAGAGCTGTCCCTCAATTCTAATACTATAAGAATTCCTGCCAGTCAATATACTAGGATCATGGACTTAAAAATGACTAAAACCAATGGTCTGTTTAGGGAATTCTGCTTACAGTTCTGTCATGTTATCAAGTGACAAACTCACAAGATCATGTACCATGTGACTCATACTTCAAAGATGACTGAATCTGAAATAATGGCTGCAATCTTTCTCAGAAAGAAATCTTTATGGCTATTTAAAACCATTAAATGTGTTTCTCCCCTTGACAATGAACCTCATATTTAAACAAGATATTTTAATTGAAAACAATTTGAAGGTGTGAAATGTCTGCAGCGGGGCTCTTTCTTTTCAACAGGAATCTAAAATGGTGGTAGCAATGTGGTGGGTCTTACAGAATGTCAGTAAACCTGCAGTGTTTTCCACTGGCTTGGCTACACTTTTCATATGATGGGAGAGAATATATCATTATAGCCATTAATGAAGCAGTTATTATTATTACCAACACTTATGATAATATAGTGGTATGAGTACTTCACAAGACTTCACTGGGTCATTAACATTCCAGTTAAAATGAACAAACACCATGTGCCCCTGCTGCTTGCAGCTTTCAAAAAGCCTGTGGAAGGACCTGGTTTATTTTCTCTCTTCCACATTTTGTCCATTATTTTTGTCTATGGTGGCAACAGCCACTCTACTACAGGATTTAGCCACAGAACTGTTATAGGATACAAACACATTTTGTCTTTTTTTGTTTGGACAAATTATTTTACAATATCAATGACCTTTTCTTATGTAAATTACACCAAACTTTGCCTCTCCGTTAGAGAGATACAAAGGTCTCATAGTTGAAACACTAGACTGGGACTCAGGAGTTCTGAATTCTCTTCCTAGTTGGGACCTTGGACAAACCACTGAATCTCTGTGCCTTCAGTTCTTCATCTGCAAAATGGAGATAGTAAGATCTCTCCACCTCACATAGGTGTTGATTATGCATTAATGCCTCTGGGGTACTCAGACTACAGAGGAGTGCCATTGAAAGGCCTATAAATGAATATAATGTAAATATTTCACTAACTCCTTAACTGTTTCTCCATCTTTCTTGAACAAAAACTGGGTTTTCCAGTTTAACTCTGTTCAATTAGAAGTCACCAAAACAAACTTTCTACTTGACAATGGAAATATCCTCAGCTATCTATCTCCCTTTCATTCAAGTCTAGTCATGGAGTTGCCCCCCACCATGAGCTCTTCTCTGCACCTCAAATGTATATAATCTGCAAGTAAGCCTACTGTAACCTTTTCAGTACAGCACATTGTCTTCCTCCCCCTCCAAGTAGCTTAATTTAAATATGTATCAAGCCCTTTCAATGTTGCCTCATACTTCACTCCCTCCAGTCCCCTGATAGTTTCTGATGATCCTTTCTGAATTCCTTCCAGTTTGTCAATACCTTTCTCGTCTTGTACCCAGAAAGAAACCCAGTATTTCAACCACAGTCACACAAGTGCCATATAGATAAGAACTATTACCTACCTCCCTGCTCCACGATATCATGTCTTTCTATATGTAGCCAAAATTGATTTTTGGTTTTTGGCAGCCATGTACACTCATGTCTAATTTGCTGTCACCCCTCTGTCACTATCACCTTGATATCACCTCTCTGTCACTTCCAAACAACTTAGGTTTCTCCCATCTGTTTAACTCAAAAATAAGAATTTAAGTTTTCCCCAGATGTATTGACTTGTGTCTCTCACTATTCCCTTCCCCCAAGTTATTAACTGCATGTTTTTAATCTTTCTAAGTCCCTTTCTATTACAACATTCTTCTGCCCTGACTTGTTTCCCAATTTCGTTAAATTAATAAATAAAACATGTTTACTGACTCTTCAAGATCGCTAAAAATGTTAACACCAGCCTTTGTGGGCATCCCAATAGACACCTTCCCCAATTCAATCTATTGCCATTTATCATTAAGCTTGGTTTATAGTCTTTTAGTCTTTAAAATATACTTATGCACACACTTTTAGAAAACTAAGGATAGGAAACTATCTTTTCTCCAAAGATACATAATAGATCCCTACTCCGAGTCTCTAACGCTCCAAGGCTGTGTTTGTAAAAATACAGAACTTGCAACAATGTAGGAAGAATATAAATATACTGTAACAAAGTGGAAAAAAAACAAAAACAAAGTAAAATATATCTTGATCAAAAAGCAATACAATAATCTTTATTGCCTGCTTTCAATGAGGCGGACTTCAAGCAATAATACCTTGTAAAAATAGGTCTGGAACTCTGTGTGGATGCCACAGAGCCCAAGCCAACATTCTTTTGACACTCATCGTTAAAAACACTGAAATCATAGCCCTACCAAAAAATAGCAATGCAAGATGTACTAAGACAGACTTCTGAGGTTGAATTTATGGAAAAGGGCCTTTACTGGGCTTGACATGTGTGCGTGAGAAGCTAGCAGGACTCACCGACCTAGGTAGAACACAGAGAAAAGATCTCTCACTCTAACATAAAAATAAGGTAGTCAAACATTTTTTGTGTGATGCATGTCAAAAGAGCCACATTGGCCTTTTTGGACCAGACAGTGAGTTCTTTCCGTGTAAGTTGGAATGCTTTTTTGGTAGGCTTCTTCTGAGCAACTGGGACTTCAGAGGTACTGAATCTCTGATCCTCTACCTGCAAGTACTCATCAGCTGCCTAATTTGAAGTTCCTTCTCTCTGCCTTGTCTGAAATGGCAGAATTCCATTTATTGCTACAAAATAGACACAACCTTATAGGACTCTCCATTTGAACAGCTTTTTACGTAGGCCCAAAATACCAAACTGAGTTTCATTTAGAAATGCTGTCTCAAACTGATTTATCATTCAATACAAACTGTTCTACTTGAATTTTTTTAAAAAAAGATTTCCTTATATTCCTATTGCATACCAGGCCTCAGACTTTTTTTTAATGTATAAAAGTTAGTGGGCAAATTTTCTAACCTTTCCTCCCTCAGACAATGCAGATGCATCAGGCAAAAAACACACCACAGGAAAATCTGACTAGATAAGATCTATAGAACAGTGAACAAAAATTATCTGATTGCCTTCTGAGAAACTACTCTGTACAGTCAACTGGATTGTAGTGGGTATGTGTCTTAACTCATCTCTAAATATAATGTCAACCTCAGCTGTTTTAGGAGCACATATTGGAAACAACTATTGAAAAATGTGAGGCAGGTGGTCAAAATGAAGGATGCAATAGATGTTTGTAGATAACAAAAAAAGGATAAAAAGACAAACTAAGTTTACAGACTTTTTCTGATCTTTAGTTTCAGAATTCAGTACAATATTAACAATACACCATTGTAGGATCAAAAGATTTGGGAATCTACCAAGAGCAACAGTTGAGAGAAGTAATTGGGAATAAGAGGGAGAAGTGTCATTTGCTTCATAAAAATGCTTTATACTTACTAAATTATCAGTTTCTGGATCTTCACAAAAAAAGGGTTTTCCTTCCTTCTCCTGCTTCCTTACAAAATTTTCAATATCTACATCAAAACTAGCAGAGGTAGTGCCTTCTGAGCCCTGTGTAGATTGTTCACATTTTTCAAATAATAGTGCTAACAATGGAAACAGTGGGTGCCTAGGAATAAATAAATAATAAAATCAGGTCTGAATAAATATTTTTTTACTTTATATTTCCTACTTTATAATGTTAGGTATCCAAAAAGTAAAAACCTAACCACCATTCATCCAGAAAAGCAATTCTGTAAGTTTTATGAAAAGATTATATACAACACACAACTGACAATATTAGCCAAAAATCCATGTGAGTTATTAAAAAAAAAAACAAGAGTAAAACTGTATAAGATTTAGACACAACTAAAGCTGTATAATAAAGCATGACTAATTGGACATTGACAAGAAGATATAATAATTGCAGTTATGAAGCTATGAAATGCCATTTTATTAATTGTAAGTTAGTAGAAGGTGATGTATTAGTACAATGTGTAATGGATTAGCACTGACACAAAGAATGAAACCAGATTTAAATTACAAAAAAATAAGCCTGATAGCATCCATCTGGTCTCCAATATGTGCCCCATTTCAATATAACAAAATCACTTTACGGTTTGGTACAGCTGAGAACGGCTTGTATTTTGAGAGACTCGTGAAATTAGCTAACTTGGCTCAGGTCAGGACTAAGATGATTCTACCATTAACTCATTTTGTGATCTTGGCCAAGTCACTTACCCTCCTTATGTGTCATTTCCCCATGTGTAAACTGGCAATAACAGTGCCTTTGTAAAGCACTTTTGGTATGTCTATACTGCAAAGTGAAGATGTGATTGTAGCATGGGTAGGCATACATGTGATAGTTTTAATTTAGTTAGCACAGGTCACAATAGCAGTGTACTCATAGCAGCACAGGTTTCAGAATGGGCTACCAACCAAAGTACAGTACATGCCTAGGGTCCATGGAGGGCTTGTACTCTGGTTGATAGCACATACTAAAGTCCTCGCCACTATGTGTACACTGCTATTGTTACCCACACTAGCTAGATTAAAGCTAACACAGGTATGCCTATCTGTGCTACAATTACACCCTCACTTTGCAGTTTATACATACTGATTAATATCTTCAAATGAAAAGTGCTAAGATAAGTATTTTTGTATTATAGAGTTGTGAGAAAAGGCACATTTTTATTTATTTATTTATTTTTAACCTAAAGAAAAAGTGGTACAGGTTTGGTTGATCACAAAAATAAAATAAAATAAAATAAATGAGGAAAGGCCTCAGATACTATTGAAGCTAATTCTAACATATAAAATATAATGGGACAGTATGAGTTAAAGTCACTATTCCTCAATAGCCTAAACAAAATACTATTGCTAACTTAAAGCTTGATGCCCATTACAGCTATAGCAATATCGGTTTTTAATAACTGACATATCTGCACTTCATAATAGCCTTCAAGATCATGCAACAGAATCCTAAATTTGGGGAAATTTTTTGCCTTAAGTAAAGAGTCTGAAAATGAAACCATTTTATTTGAACTTACTCATTGTTTACTTGCAAACTACAGCTCATCTGGTTTTAATCTGCCTAGTTAAAAGAAAAAAAAAAAAGAAAAAAAAGAAAAGAAAAAACACCTAAAACTATACTTTTTACCCTTCAAAGACACAACCGAAGTCCATAATACTACCTGTAAATGGCCTGCTTGTCTGCATCCATTGGCGTCTGAGATTCTACAGGGGCAGGACTCACTCCTTCTGCATCAGTTTCAGAGCAGTTTGGGTCTTGTTCAGTTTTTAACTCGGTTACTACTTGCATCTGTAGAAAAAGGAGGATAAGTTATTTTACGTCACCAAGCACAAAGATTTATTAGTTAGTACACTGTTTTCTAAGTAAATAGCAATGCAAAAAGCTAGTAAATTGCCAGAAGGTTGGTATGATTTGGCAATTATACAAAAAGCATAAGCAGTAACAAGAAACTCATTTAATCCTTGACACTTTTTGTTGGATAGTGTAAAGGTCATTTCAAGTTTCAGCACTCAGCTTTAAAATTGGAATGATTGATATTAGTGAACTGCTAAAGCATTTTGTGTCTCACAAACCGCTATTTTTGGAATAGGTTAGACATATATTGCTCCAAAAACGAGTTTATGAAAAGGCTGGATTAACAGCCTTTGTGGTGAAACCACAATAAAAACGTTACTCTCCTATTGATTTCCTTCTCCCTTTCCACAGAGATACTGATGCAAATAGGGACTCTGGAGCTAGTTTCTTCATCCATTAAAATTCACATTTTGTTATACAGAACTGAAATATAGCATTTGTTGCAGTCTTTCACTAATCAGGAATGCAATTTCGCCTTACAAATTACCTCTAAACTTTTACATATACAGATGACATTAAACAATATAGGAATACCTACTCAATGTAAAAAGCAACAGAAAATAACAGTAGTTGTATTTAAAGAGCAATATTTACTAGTTTTTCAGCAGAATGGAGCAAAGTAATTGCCATTAAAAATATTTTAACAAGTTTGCCAGTTCAACTAAATGAGCTCATCTTCACATCCATGCAGAACAAACTTAATCAGCTTAAAACAGAACAACAACAAATTAAAATCAAGTTAGGTGAAAGATACCAGCCTAAAAAGGCATCCAATAGCGTGTGTTAGAGAGAGACTATCAGTCTGAACAGCTACTCAGCAGTTTGTGTGGGAGTGCAGGGCACAAGTAAAAGCTGCAATATTAAGAGGCAAGAAAAAGATGCAAAACAGGAAAGCACCAAAGCACCTTAAAAGATAAACCTAAAAAGAGTCATGATTTAAACATTACTAACAGGATATAGAGTCCTGTAATCTTTGGGTAGTTTTATGTTATTCCATGATCATATGGGGTATATTACAGCTCCACAAGAACATTGTTAGAGTTACAGTAGGGCAATTCAATCTGCACATATAGCACATCCTGAACGGCATCAATGGACTGGGAATGCCTTTGAGACTTTGATGGCTTTCTAAAATGGAACTTCCATTCTTCTTCACCTACCGCAAGGTATCTTTAGACTAAGAGCCCACTTAACGGGGACAGAAAGATCATCCCACTTGAAGAACTTACCTACCATGGAATCCAATCTTCCCTTCAAAAAGGATTGCATTTTTCTTCCCGCTTGAGCGTTAGTTACATCCGCCTGGGGGCACTGAACCAATGGCATACAAAGATTCTTTTTCTGCTTGAACCATGGCAGTTTGTGTCTTAAGCACCACCACCACACTAGGATCAAGGCCTCAGAAAGAAAATTAAAAACCACAGAAGGACCCACCCTCACAAGAGTTGTCACCAAAGGAGCAATCCTTTGAAGGAAGAGTCAGGCCCTTAGTAATTATTAGAGTAACCAACACAGACATCATCTAAAGACAAAGCTGCACCTAATTCCACACACAACGAACAAAAGGAATTTAAGACACTATCCTGAAGTAAGTCTTGCATAGGCTGTTTGTACTTTGTTGTCTGACACGGCTGAGCCCTCTTCTAGCTCAACAGGAAATTTTGAGAAAATGACAGAACTTCCTGACCCTCGAGAAGTTCTCTTGGAAGGCTTAGATGATTTTGAAGCCACTATGCCTGGAGAAAGACATAACCGATGGACTTATTTTTTGGCTAACGAAAGGAAGGATGGGCAATGGGAAAACAGACTCATGCATATAATCATAAAGATCGGGCCATATTTTTGCAGAGTCTGTAGGTGGAGGGGTCTTCACCTTGAGTCACTGGAAATTAAAAACAAGTTACCTAAAACTGGGGGCTACTTTCTTTCAGCTGTTTGCTGCTGATGACAGAAGCCAAGACACACCAAAACCAGAAGACTACTTTGTGGCAGAGTGCTCCTGAGGTACAAAACAAAACAAACAAAAAAAAGAACCACCGCTCTGCTCCTGAGGGAATTCTGTGCTACTGCGCATGCACAGAAATCATGTGCAGTGCAGAATTTTCTTTTCTCAGCACAAAATACATTCTGCCAAGAAGTGCTGCAGTTATGCCTTTTGCCCACCAGGGGCTGCTGTGGCGCCAGAACAGACAGCAGATGCTCCTGGGTGGGAGCAGCCCCAGCTGCAGGTAGGGAAGAGAAAAGGCTCTGGTCCTCACAGCGCCCTGCCTGTGGGGCTAGGTCAGGAGGCGTGGGATATGGGGGGATGGTCAGGGTGGAACATATGGAGCTGCTGGGGAATTACAGACTGGGGTTCAGAAGGGCTAGTGGGGGGACAGAAGGGTGTAGGCTCATGGTGAGAGAGGTGGCTGGCTGAGTGGGAGTTCAGGGACACATGGGGACAGGGGCAGATTTGCCTAATTGAATTAAAGAGGTGAGGGTCTGCACAGGGGAGACTCCCTAACAACCCTTCCGCCTCACCCCGCAAAAAACTGTTCCATACTTCTCCCACCCACACCCAACAACCATCCAAGTTCACACCCAGGCTCCCTCCCAGCAATTACTTTCCTGTCCCTCAACTCCTCCATTACCCTTCAATGTATACCCCAAATTAAGAAACACAGTAAAAGAACTAAAAAAGAGCCACCGTGGCTTAACAACCATGTAAAAGAAGCAGTGAGAGATAAAAAAATACTTCCTTTAAAAAGTGGAAGTCAAATCCTATTGAGGCAAATAGAAAGGAGCATAAACACTGCCAAATTAAGTGCAAGAATGTAATAAGAAAAGCCAAAGAGGAGTTTGAAGAATGGCTAGCCAAAAACTCCAAAGGTAATAAAATGTTTTTTAAGTATATCAGAAGCAGGAAGCCTGCTAAACAACCAGTGGGGCCCCTTGATGATCGAGATACAAAACAAGCGCTTAAAGACGATAAAGTCACTGCGGAGAAACTAAATGGATTCTTTGCTTCAGTCTTCATGGCTGAGGATGTTAGGGAGATTCCCAAACCTGAGCCAGCTTTCGTAGGTGACAAATCTGAGGAACTGTCACAGATTGAAGTGTCACTAAAGGAGGTTTTGGAATTAATTGATAAACTTAACATTAACAAGTCACCGGGACCAGATGGCATTCACCCAAGAGTTCTGAAAGAACTCAAATGTGAAGTTGCGGAACTATTAACTAAGGTTTGTAACCTGTCCTTTAAATCGGCTTCTGTACCCAATGACTGGAAGTTAGCTAATGTAACACCAATATTTAAAAAGGGCTCTAGAGGTGATCCCGGCAATTACAGACCGGTAAGTCTAACGTCGGTACCGGGCAAATTAGTCGAAACAATAGTTAAGAATAAAATTGTCAGACACGTAGAAAAACAAACTGTTGAGCAATAGTCAACATGGTTTCTATAAAGGGAAATTGTGTCTTACTAATCTATTAGAGTTCTTTGAAGGGGTCAACAAACATGTGGACAAGGGGGATCCAGTGGACATAGTGTACTTAGATTTCCAGAAAGCCTTTGACAAGGTCCCTCACTAAAGGCTCTTACGTAAATTAAGCTGTCATGGGATAAAAGGGAAGGTCCTTTCATGGATTGAGAACTGGTTAAAAGACTGGGAACAAAGAGTAGGAATTAATGGTAAATTCTCAGAATGGAGAGGGGTAACTAGTGGTGTTCCCCAAGGGTCAGTCCTCGGACCAATCCTATTCAACTTATTCATAAATGATCTGGAGAAAGGGGTAAACAGTTAGGTGGCAAAGTTTGCAGACGATACTAAACTGCTCAAGATAGTTAAGACCAAAGCAGACCGTGACGAACTTCAAAAAGATCTCACAAAACTAAGTGATTGGGCAACAAAATGGCAAATGAAATTTAATGTGGATAAATGTAAAGTAATGCACATTGGAAAAAATAACCCAACTACATATACAATATGATGGGGGCTAATTTAGCTACAACAAGTCAGGAAAAAGATCTTGGAGTCATCGTGGATAGTTCTCTGAAGATGTCCGTGCAGTGTGCAGAGGCAATCCAAAAAGCAAACAGGATGTTAGGGATCATTAAAAAGGGGATAGAGAATAAGACTGAAAATATATTATTGCCCTTATATAAATCGATGGTACGCCCACATCTCGAATACTGCGTACAGATGTGGTCTCCTCATCTCAAAAAAGATATGCTGGCACTAGAAAAGGTTCAGAAAAGGGCAACTAAAATGATTAGGGGTTTGGAACGGGTCCCATATGAGGAGAGATTAAAGAGGCTAGGACTCTTCAGCTTGGAAAAGAGGAGACTAAGGGGGGATATGATAGAGGTATATAAAATCATGAGTGATGTGGGAGAAAGTGGATAAGGAAAAGTTATTTACTTATTCGCATAATACAAGAACTAGGGGTCACCAAATGAAATTACTAGGCAGCAGGTTTAAAACAAATACAAGGAAGTTCTTCTTCACGCAGTGCACAGTCAACTTGTGGAACTCCTTACCTGAGGAAGTTGTGAAGGCTAGGACTATAACAGCGTTTAAAAGAGAACTGGATAAATTCATGGCGGTTAAGTCCATTAATGGCTATTAGCCACGATGGGTAAGGAATGGTGTCCCTAGCCTCTGTTTGTCAGAGGATGGAGATGGATGGCAGGAGAGAGATCACTTGATCATTGCCTGTTCGGTCCACTCCCTCTGGGGCACCTGGCATTGGCCACGGTCGGTAGACAGGATACTGAGCTAGATGGACCTTTGGTCTGACCCGGTACGGCCGTTCTTATGACTTCCCCAAGTCTTTACACTGCTTCTGAGGGGTCAGGAAATACATTTCTGTATTGTAGTTTAAATAAATTATTACTCAAATTACATACTTGCTGACAGGTTTTTTTTTTAAATAAATTACCAAAATAATTGAAACTGGCATGATTATATTGTGTTATTTTGACAAATAAAATATGCAGACTTTTGCCAAATTTTAAACTATTGTATACAGAATTTTTAATTTATGGCGCAGAATTTTTAATTTTTTGGCCGTAGAATTCCCGCATTCTTGTTGGTTGTTATAACCTTAATACATATTCTTCACAACTCAGAGACAGATGTAGGTTTCATTTTTAGAACGTACACACTATACATTTAAGTGATTTATTTTGAAAACTTTTCAGATTCGTTTTACAGCTATATCAGAAAAGGAATGATTGTTTGGTTATTTCATTTACCAAAGGTAATTGAAGCAGGTATTTATGAAGTCACTGGGAGGTGAACTATCTCCAATTCAACATGTTAATCTTTAATATTTGGAGGATTTTCTTGCCCTGCTGTACTAGGAGGAGAACATCACCAGACAGACATTTAAAAAAATTGTATTTAACTAAAACAACGTTATGTATTCTGGATTTTTTTCTTCAACAGGAAACTTAATATTTTAACAAAACAAGCATATGAATTTTGAATTTAGTTAAACATTCAAGTTTTTTAAAATCAGTTTTGTTTTTGTTAAAACTGTTTTATTGAAAAAACAAAAACAAAAATTAAAATCGACTATGTCAGCCAGGTCAACATGAGAAATTTAAAATATTGGCTTCTGCAGCTAACTCAGTTGTCTTCACCTTCATTTTCCTATTTGTTCGTTATCTGGACAATAAAAACAAGCTTTTTTCAGGTCCCAAACGATTTCTCAATTTGGAATGAATTAGTCCAGAGGAAGAAAATATTCTTTCTACGCTGGCAGAAGCTACTGCTGTTAAAAGTGAGATATTCACTTCAATAGTCTCTGAATCCAAGTACTTAAGTGACTTCCACCAGTTCACTGGTGTGACTTTCTTTAAAACATCAGCAGCAAACATATTTCTTGAATGGTTCACCCTTAGCTCTGAAGGCAGGGCCGGCTCCAGCTTCCTTGCCGCCCCAAGCGGTGAAGCAAAAAAAAAAATAAATAAATAAAAAAATAAAGCCAATCGGCGGCACTTCAGCGGCGGGCCCTTCACTCCCTCTCTTCCTCTTTGGCGGCACTTCGGCAGTAGCTCAAAGAGGAAGAGAGGGACTGAGGGCCCCGCCGCCGAATGGCCGCCGAAGACCCAGACGTGCTGCCCCTTTCCATTGGCCGCCCCAAGCACCTGCTTCCTTCGCTGGTGCCTGGAGCCGGCCCTGTCTGAAGGGTATTATAGTTGGCATTATGGAGGGATGATTGCTGGATGTCCATGTCATAGCCAACTCCTCTTCTTCAGCAGTTAAGGTTTGATCCTGGTACTGAGTATTGAGAATATTTGCAAGAAAATGAGCTGTAAATAGTGCTTGTCCCATTCATTTTTTAATACTTGTAATTTAACTCTGTTATTGCATATTTTTCTTTTTAAGATCTCACTCAGTTCCTTCCAAATTTCAACAGCGTCAGCAATAAAACAGCTATTTCCCTGCATTTTGTTCAAGGCTACAGAAACAGACTTCAGGGTACTCAGCATATGTTCAACATTTCTCTTAAGCCCAGTGTTGAGAACTTTGGCTGTGACAGTGCCATCTATTTTTTCCCAATTTTATTCACAAACTGTCATCAAATTAGGCCAGTTCTTGATATAGTGCTCGAAACAGTCCACTACTGAGTTCCATCACACGTCTTGTGGGAGAGTTAGCGTGGTTCCTCCCATGTTTTTCAGAGCAGCTGCTGCAAAGTGGCTATTATGGAAGTATTTTGCAATTTCAACAACATTAGCCTTTATTTCTGGAACACTGAAGTCTTTGGCTAGGAGGTGCATCAAATGAGCACTTCAACCATATGTTATTAGCTTGGGACTCTCTTCTAAATAATTTCTTCTCATCTTGGATACATTTGCAGCATCGTCTGTGACCAAGCTGCATACTAGACATTTGAATTTTTTTTCAGTTTGTTATAGCTTTTACTGCGTGTGCATTTCCTGATGTATCAATTGTTTCGGTAAGGAAGACATTCCCTTCTTCTTTTGTCACACAAGCACATACAGCAGGATAATTGTGGACATTGCTCCACCCATCAAGACTCAGGTTAACAATTTTACCCTCTAGACCTTTTGCACACTGCTCAATTTCACTTTCATACACTTTTTATCCAACAATTTGCCTGCGACATCTGCTCTGTTGGTGGACTGTATCCTGGTTTTAAGGACTGAACCATGTTAATGAAGTGTGGGTTCTCAATCATATGGAAAGGAGAGTTTGTTGCATAAACAAACCGGGCAATTTTTTCATCAATTACGTCTTTTTGTAATCTGCTGGTTCTTATCACAAACTTATCTATGGCTGTTTCTGGATGATGGAGATTTTTTTTTTTCTTTTTGCTACAGGTGATATACTGTGGCTATGTGACATACATGATGTGACTACACTATCATTGGCAGATAACTCTGAAACTATAGAAAATGATGGTGATCTTGAAGGTGGGTAGTCTTCAGAATCCTGTATGTTGAGGATGGATTCTCCTAAACAAAATAAGCCAATGCCATTATTTAATTATTACCAGCATACTGCTCATTTAGTACATCTCTACCTTGATATAACGCTACCTGATATAACACGAATTCGGATATAACGCGGTAAAGCAGTGCTCCGGGGGGCTGGGGGGGGGGGCGGCGCGGGGCTGCGCACTCCGGTGGATCAAAGCAAGTTCAATATAACGTGGTTTCACCTATAATGCGGTAAGATTTTTTGGCTCCCGAGGACAGCGTTATATCGAGGTAGAGGTGTATTATTCATTGCATTCACTGACACTCAGTACTACTTTAAAGGTGAAATTGTAAAAGGAAGATCAGCCTATTTCAGCTATTTATTTGATCACAACTGCATCTAAAATGATAGTAGCAGAGAGTAACAACTATATTTTTTGCTCGAACATGAGAATTCAAGAATAGTCCAGAAGGAAGATAGGCAGTCCTTAAGAAAGAAGTATGAAATAAAAAAAGTTTACCAACCTGAAGATCCTGCATGTTCAGACATGTTCCTTTGATCATCTTCAACGCAGCTTCCTCCTGAGAAGGAACACTTCTCATGATGTTGTTTCATTCAGGCAACCAGGCCTTGCATTTCTTTGTTGCACTGTTTGCATTTTGCAAGCATGCCTGTCTTACCCACAGGTAAAGGAACTTCATTAAAATATTCCCAAACTGGATCTCTTATGGCCTGCTGCCATTATAGGTTTTCCCTTCTAGTGAGAGAATGGTATGGCAGATCTCAAATCAATGAAGGCTACACTCAGAAAGACCTCAAGACTTCTGGAATATGCTGCTCAAACAGTTTCACTTTTGTTTCTACTGCCTGTCCCTCCTGTCTCACATTTATCTCCAGACTTCTTCTCCTTGTCCAGATCTATTCCGCCCCCAACGATCTTCTATTCATTGAACTTTTTGAAACTTTGCACTTTTAGAGAGATGTAAGGGATTGACTCTGTGTACACAAATTTGCAGAGGAACAATAGGGTTGATGTCTTATTTCTCACTTCTATATATTATGTATTTATTTAAAAACATTTTTGCTGTTAACAAGCATGTTATCTCTGGAGTGGAGACACAAATCCACTGTTTGAGAACTGCAAAACTAAGCATCACTTATGGTATCTTCTAAACTGAGCACTGAGTCCCATTGGGTAGACAGAAAGATTAACCTAAATAATCTATACAAAAGTCCCTGGAACCCCATAGGATTGGGTCCCTAATCCATGAACTATTGGAACTCATTTACAAAACTTTTCTTAAACATTACATGAATATATTGTCTCATACTACAGAATTAGAATTTATAATCCCTATTCCACGATGAGATATCTTTGAGCTATAATGTATGTTAAATAAAACTATCTTTAGATAAATGCTTTTTGAGGAAAAAAAACTAATAAAAAAATCCAATTTAAATAAAATTAAAAAAAAAAATCTGATTTTTTTTTTAAATCATTGATTTTTATCCACCCTGCAACCAGCTCTTTACCAAGGCACATAAGTATTCTAAACTAAGTAAACCAATCAAAGAAAAGGATTTATGGAAAAAAAGCTCTCCAAAATAAAAGCAAGAGGTACTCCAAACAGAAGATAGCAATGTAGAGAATTGCCTCTTTGGAAATAAAAGATAACTGACTGTTCAGCTAACCAGGCTTCTTTGTAGGGGAAGCAACAACTCATTTTTCCTTCTGACAGTTAACACTGTCTCTATCTACTGGCAGGAAGACTTGTACCTACTGCTCAAGCTGGCATACAGCAATAACGGAGAACAGGTCTTCAGAGTGCGGATCAATGGCATGACTTTTTAGGAACCACTGCTCAAAGATGCAACATCATATCACATCACATATAGAGCCTAACCTAAAACAAAAAGGTCATTTTTCACTTGCTAATAGTAATGCAATACATAGAGGAGAAAAAATGCTCTCACTTGTTGTCCATCTTGATAGTTGTCTATACTTAATGTCTGTGTTGCCATCATGGTTAATGAAGGGTTTATAATGTCAAATCATCACAAGTGAGAACACATTCTAGAAAAGAGGAAAAGATGTCAGTTACAAAAATAATCTTTTTTAAAATGGATTCTACACAATGCAAAAAATGTTGACAAAATTTCTGTCTGCAATAGCAAAGCGAATCAGTTATTTAATTGACAATGCAATTATATTCATTTTTTAGGCAGCCATCACTCTCGCAAACAAAACATTTAAGTTAATTGAGCTATGGCAATTTAAGGCTCTGAACCCTACACGTTTTCCTTCTGTAATGTGTCTAGTCATCAGGAGTGCTTTGGTTGTTGCCAAATCTTTCCCACACTCTTGCATATCACTGTAGTATGTGACCATTAAGATGACTAATTACTCATTGTTTTCCAGATGTATTCTATTTTCTAGATATTAAAAACAGTCTCAAGTGGAGTTTTCCATTGAGAAAACATTTCAGATAGTTTGAAGAATATTCTCCATTTTCATTTTGTTGAAGGGCTTTCATATCATGAACAGAGGAAGGTCATAGCTAAGGATACTAGTTAGTCACAGAGGTCATGGCAGTCACGGATTCCATGACTTTACCAGACCTCCATGACTTCTTTGGCTTCAGCTGTCAGGGACTGAAGCTGGGACTGTGGCTTTGGCCAGGGCTGTGTGCCCTGCCCCGTAGCTGAGGCTGGAGCCGGGACTGTGCGCCTTCAGCTGGGGCTGTGTATCCCCTACCCCTTTGGCCAGGGCTTGAGCTGGAGTCATGCACAAACCCCTGCCCCCCAGCCTGGGGCCTGGGCCATACGCCGCTGCCACCCTCCCATGGCCGGAGCCATCCGTTGTTGTCCACTCCTCTCTCCCCGCTGGGGCTGTGTACTCCTGCCCCATGGCTTTGGCCGGAACCGGGGCTGTGCACTTTGGCTGCTGCCAAGGCCGGAGCTGGGGCTGTGCACTGTGGCTGCTGCCAAGGCCGGAGCTGGGGCTGTGTGCCCCTGCCCCGCAGCTGCGGCTGGAGCTGGAGTCGGGGTTGTGCGTGCCCCCCGCCCATGGCAGTGGGGCTGGTGCTGTCAGTCCGTACCCCCCATTGGGGCTCCAGCTGTCATTCTTCTTCCTTACCTACCCCACCCTCCGCCAGCCCTGTCTCCTGGTTACTTTTAGTAAAGTCACAGACAGGTCACGGGCTCCTGTGAATTTTTATTTATTGCCAGTGACTTTTACTAACAATAACCATGACAAAATCTTAACCTTAGTCTTAGCTCTTTGGGACAAACCTTTGTATGTGTTTATATGGAACCTAATTGAGCTCCTATCCTGATTGGGGCCTCTGGGCACTACTGTACATTTTCACTGATTTTAAGGCCAGAAAGGTCCATTCTGATCATCTGATCTTCTGCATAGTGCAGGCCATAGAACAGCATCCAGCAATTCCTAAATCAAGCCTTTATCCTGTGGTTGAGCTAGAGCATAATTTTAGAAAGACATTCAATTTTGTGAAGAAAGAGGATTGGATTCATATTCCTAGATCCTTTAAACCTTTGTTTACAGTATTAATGAAAAACTAGGAGGAGGCTATTTTCTGGTTCTGGTCTGGAGACAGCAAAGATCTCACGAGAACAGGCATTTTTACAATATTTCAGTCCAAGATAGTAGAAGCCTCATAAGAACACCTGATCTTGGCAGAAGATACACCATTCCAAGTCAAAAACCTCACAAGAGCAGATCTTAAGATTCTGTCATTTAATAACTGAAAGCCTAGGCCTGATTTTGTATTCTTGGCCCATCTCCATTTAAAATGCAACTCTCCTTATACTCGCCCCACACAACCCCAAAGCAAGCACTGAAGATACAAGAACTATTAATACTGCATTGCATTCTCATTAATCTAATCAATATAGATATGGGTGGGCAGAGATGCTGGAACAAATTTTTATTGTGGGACTGCTGAAAGCAGAAACCATGTATTTGGCTGCTATTACTACTTCAAGCCAGGGGGTGCTGCTACACCATCAACACCCCTAGTTCCAGCACCCCTGTGGGTGGGTCAGATATTAACAATGTCCTTCATAAAACTTTTCTATTATAACAATCTTTCGTACATAACATTTCTCTTGATAAAGGTATATTGCTATATTGCCATAAACAAAAAACTTACACACATTAATATTGGGATAAAAATCAAAACAAGAAACGTATTTTGTACCTAGATATTACAACACTAGACTTCTATAACACCTTCCATCTAAGGTAAAAGGGATCTCTAAACCTCATTGGTCCATAGTGATTGACACCCAGACATGGTAAAAAGGATGTAAGCGGTGGCCAAAGGCCTGGTTCATAGTTTCGCCATCTGGTGAGGGAGCTCGTTCAGACCCTCAACCAAGCAATAATTTTGAAAATCTGGTTGATATCGATTGTGATGTCAAGGATTGGGTTTGAGATGCTTTACGTCTCTGTGGTCTTTGCCTGTGCCTTTTGGGTTCGTAATGTAGTTGCTGCTGATGCTGGAACAAGGTGTCTCTGCTGCGTCGGTATGCCCGGTAACGTCTTCATATCATTGCAGGTGATATAGCCTGAGAGTATGGAGAGTCGCCTGGGAATCTTTCATTGAGTGGAGGATCTCATCGGTTTTATCAGAGAAAAGTTTTTCCTCTGTCGAATGAGAGACCTTCCCCTTTTACTTGGTGATTTTTCAGAATTCCTGAGAATTGCAGCTATGATGCTCTGTGCATTACTATGGCTGTGGCTGTTGTTCTCGCCGCCGTGTCTGCCACGTCAAGGGACACCTGTAGTGCCGTTCTGGCGACCAGCTGTCCTTCTGTTAGTATGGCTTTGAACTGTGCATGCCTCTCCTCTGGGAGGTCTTTAATAAATTCATTCAGTTTGCCATAATTATCATAGTCATATTTGGCCAGGAGCGCGCTGTAATTTGCAACTCTGAATTGTAGGGTTGCCGAAGAATAGATCTTTCATCCAAAGAGGTTGAATATCTTGCCCTCCTTGTCCTGTGGAGTGGACCTGTACTGTGGTTTGCCGCATTGGTTTATGGCCTCTACTACTAGAGAATTGGGTAGGGGGTGAGAAAAAAAGGAAGTCCATAACCTTGGCGGGCACGTAATACTTCCTATCTAGCTTCTTACATTTTGATGGGTCAGTAGCTGGTGTTTGCCAAATGGTTTCCGCCTGTTCCCTGATGATGTCATTTATGGGCAACACTATTTTAGAAGTCAGACGATGTCTGGAGAATCTGGAGGAGTTTGTGCTGGGTGTCCTGCACCTCCTTGAATGGGATCTCCTGACTCTGTGCTACCCTTCTGAACAGTTCATGGAACTGTTTGAAATCATCAGCCGTGGTGGGAGGTGGCGGCATTATGGCTCTCTGTGGGGACCAAGAAGAGTTATGCACAGGTAATGCTATGTCCTGCTCGGTGCCCTCTTCCCTCTCATCCCCTGTTTCCTCCTGGGCTTCCGAGGTCTCCAGTATGAAGGATGGTGGTGGTGATCTTATTTTACCTCTGGGTGGGGTTAAAGGTCTGTTGTAATGAGCCCTCTATGCTGCCTATAGGTCCCAGGCTGGCCATTGCATAGGAAAGGGCATAGGTGGGCACATCCATGGTTGACCATACCAAGGTTGCATGTCTTGTCCATAGGGATCCTTTGATTTAATGGGTCCCCAGGGTGGTCTGTGTTCTGTGGGTGAAGAGTGGTGTGAAGAGAAGGCATGCTTTTCCTGTTCATCTCATCATCACTCGATAATGGGGGGGGTGGGCGAGGCTGGTCTGATGCTGTATGCTCAGGTGAGCCATCGATGCTGAAGGGTGGTGACTGCACTACTGAAGAGACCACAAGGTCTTTTTTTTTTTATTAATTGGTGTGGTGCCGTTGATTTTGGCACTGTCAGTACTGATGTCATTGTTTTAGATGGTACCGGGGACAGTGCCGATGACTTGTGGCCCCAACTTGCTCAGTATGGATGGTGTCATCTTGGCTCTGTCCGTCGGTGCCAATGGGGTCGCCAGCACCAGTGGTGGAGGCATAGTCACTGGTGTGGGCCTCGGTGCCGTGTCTCTTAACAGTATGGTCGGTGCTTTAGAGGAGAAGGCAGTCTTAGATACATGCCTCGACTCCTTGTCCTTCCGATGGGGCTAGGCAGAGGTCCCAGTGCGGTCTTTGCCAGAGGTACACTGTGCCTCAAAAGTACTCACCCGTGGAGTGGTAGGCACCAAAGATAGCGACCTAGCAGGAGACAGTTTCTTTTTATTCGGCTCTCTCTGTGGTGAAGTCGTGGCTCTTTTCCTTGATCTTTTAGAGGAACGAGCGTTGTCCTTAGTTGAGGTGGATATAGCCGGGGAGCCCCTGTGGAAAGAGTCTGTTGCCCTGGATCAGAGGCCAGTCGCAGAGATTTTTTTAGTAACTGACTAAGACTAACCAAACACCAACTATACTAGGAAAAAACTAAAACTATTTCTAATTATGTTTCTCTAGGTTTGTGAGAGATGCTGGGACACTGCGACGGAGCTCTGTCTCAGGCCAAGGATGGTGGAGAAGGAACTGAGGGGGGTCAGGTCGTGTGCGCACTAGATGAGGCGCCAACGGTGCCACGAGATGACTACTGCACATGTGTCCCCCAAATGGACACTTCTCCTCAAAATGTCTGATCAACGGCGCCGGGATGCACTGACACCTGAAGTGGAGCATCCACAGGGACAGCACTCGAAGAAGAAAGTATTATCTCCATTTTATAGATGGAAAAATTGAGCCATAATGCCGTTTTGGTGACCTCATAATGCTGTTTTGGTGACCTTCCAACTCAGTCCAGCCTCATATTTCTAGCTAACATACGGAAGGAGGCACTGCTCTCCAGTCCACCTAAGGTGGAACACCTATAGGGACACTACTCAAAGAAGAGAGAAGGTTACTCACGCCGTGCAGTAACTGAGGTTCTTTGAGATGTGTCCCCCTATGGGTGCTCCACCTTAGATGCGTCTGCGTCCCTACGCCTAGGATCGGAGATTTTCGGTAGCAGTGCCCATTGGACCACATATGCACCCCATCCCACACCCTGAGTGGTGGCTATATAGCACTGTGCAGTCCAAATGCTATCAGTTCTTCTCTACTGCAGAGTCCATGTTTGAACTCCAAAGCAACGGGACGTAGGGTGAGTAGTGGAGAACCCATAGGGACACACATCTCAAAGAACCTCAGTTATTGCACAGGGTGAGTAACCTTCTCTTCTTTTTTGAGGAGTGTCCCTATAGATGCTCCCCCTTAGGTGACTATAGAGCAGTCCCCCTGGTTGGAAGGCTGCGGCTTCAGATTTGGCTTTGTTACTGATGATAGGACAGTCAGTCAGCCTTAACAGAGCCTTTGATGCCGAGTCCTGCTCAATTGCGTACTGCACGGACGGCCAGGATGCTGCTCTACAAATCTCTGGTATTGGTACATCGTTCAGGAAAGCTACAATAGAAGGCCAATGCCCTATGAACATCTAGCATGTGGAAAAAAGCCTCTTGTTTATTTCCTTGTGGCTTAGAGAAGAAAGATGGAAGGTGGATAGGTTGGTTCAGATGGAATGAAGATGGCACCTTGGGTGGGGTCTTAATGTGACATTAACTTTGAAGAAGACTGCGTAGGACGGGTACGCCAGAAGGGTCCCCATTTTCTCCATGCTACAAGTGGATGTGATGGCTACAAGAAAGGCCATCTTCATTGATAGATGAATGTAGGAACAAGGAGTTCTTGACTTCAATTGGAATCGAGAGAGTTTTGCTCACTACCCTAGCAAATTTGATTGCTACAGTACGAGCCAGTCCGCAGGTATCAGCCAGAACCTGTTTTACAACTTCTAGGGCATGTGGCCACGACCACCTTTGTGGTAAAACATGCCAGACCACATAGGCGATGTCTTAAAGGCTGGCTTCAGACAGTATATGCCCTGCCAGCAGCTGACCCTCTGTGATGATTGCCTAGAACTGTTCTTTTTTGTCCTCAGGGATGTAATCAATAAAATCATGTAACTTTGAGTCATTTGTATTACTATAATTTGACATAAGTGCCTCACAATCAGCAATTCTGAATTATAGAGTCACTGATGAGTATGCCTTTTGTCCAAAGAGATCTAGTCTCTTCCAGTCCTTATCATAGAGGGCAGAGGTGGATTAAGATATATTGAGGCCCTGGGCACAAAGAACATTTGCCCCCCCACACCTTACCCGTAATGAGGCCCCGCCCCCTGCTCCTCCCCTTCCCCCCCGGCCCCTCCTCCTGGCCTGGCTGGAAGCTGGGTCATGGTAAGAGCTGTTCAGGGAGCCCAGGCAGCTGTGGGAAACCCTCGACCCTCCACCTGCCCTGGGCTGCATGCCCTGGGGGAAGGGGGACAGGGACATGGGTCGGGTGCTGCTCATGGTATACAGGTCAACCATGTTCTCCTATTTACTCTCATAATAAACTAAGAAAGTGGACACCCAATGATATTAACTCAAGGCATAACTACCTTGTGGGATTCATTGGTGCAAGATATGGCTAAAAGAGAGCTTTGTAGGATTCAATAAAGAAACAGATATAAACAATGTCATCTGCAGTAAGACTAAATACGGCAGATAGTTATAAGAGATATAAAACTGTATTTTTCAGGGTATAAACCAACCATTAATTGTCTGGGGTCAAGAAGAAACTTCTCCTATGGAATTATTAGTGCATAATTATTCCTTATAGGATTTTTTGTTTATTAAACTACACCTTCCTCTGAAGCATTTAGTACTGGCAACAGTTAGACAGATAAATGTGGGCCACTGACCTGATCCAGTATGACTAGTAGCAGTACCAGTAGTAGTAGTACCAATACTTTCTATACAACCATCTATGTTTTTGTGTTCATACACAGCAAAGTAAAAAAAAAAAAAAAAAGATATTTCTCCTGCCCAAGGCAGGCTAGCGAAGAAAATATAATGGAATTTGCCTCCATCTGCACACTGCCTGTTAAAGGAGGAGTTAACATGGTACCAGCTGCAAGGAAGCTGCTCACCCCTTTATTTCAACTGGACGTAGAGGCCATTGTCTTATTCCAGCAGATTGAATTCCAGGCTCATTGGTGCACAAGATAGCAGATACACACCTAGGAATCAACAAGGAAAAATTCAGATGGAAATAATAATTTGGTAAATAGCTTATCAGCTGGAAATGAATCCCCCCCCCACCCCCAGAAAACAGAGTAAAAAAAAAAAAGGTTTAAAAAAAAAAAAAGGTAAGATGTTTTTTCTACCATTTCTATTTGCAGGGGAAAAAAGGATATATTAAAAAAGAATAAACTGCCCAGTCTTTATTGTTGACTTGCCCTCATCTTACAACCTCCAATGTTGCTTTTGCTAGTGCTTGCAAAAGAAAGCAAATATTGTGACTGCTGATCTTCTTTCCACTGTATGTGGAACCTTTGTATTTTACTCTCTGGATCAACATCCATTTGCTTGGGCAACACAAGGCAAATTCCAAAATAAATCCAGTGATGGCAAATCGGAACAACTGTGTACTGTCTTAAAGAAAGCTCTTCCATATCAAATCAAACACAGAGTCAAGAACTATTAATCAGCTTTTTTGATATCCTTCTTAATTGTACTCTCTCAAAATACTACATGAAAAAATATGCAGAATGTAATGTTAAGAATTATTCATCCCATATGCAGAGAGCTAGTAGGTTGTATTATAGGTTTACACAGCAGTTTAAAAAGCCTACTTTAAATTAGCACTTAATATTGAATTGGATTTGACATTTTAAAACTAGTATTTAAAACTAGCATAAAACTGATGCAGAAATTATGAAAGTGTACTCAGAAAATATGGTTCCTGAAAACACTATTGAAAAATGACAGTTAACCCAGGAGCAAAATTTATGGTCAATAAAACTATCTCAGGGGAATGGTCAAGATGCTAACGCCATAGAGAGGTCGAGCAGTGAAACAACAGCTAAAAAGCAGTGATTCTTTAATACACAGTTGTGATTTAAAATAAAACTATGTATTCACTTATTCAAGACTCCATATTTCTAATCACAAAGCAATTTTTCTAAAATTTAGCTAGAATGAAAAAAGACAAACGCCAAATCCAAATTTTGAAAACTGAATTGGAAATGGTTGGATTTGAGATCTAGAACTTCAGTTGTGTTCAGTGTAGAACCAATACCTCAAAGGGCCAGTTTTTGATTCCTGGGATAAACTATAATGAGGACACAGTGGCTCTAGTACTTTCTCCCTTATCCACCAAAGCCCCACCTCCCCCAAGCAGCTGTTCACCCCTTGTTTTCTGCAACTCTACACTGTTGTCTTTGTGCAGAGAGATCCTGTGGCCTCAGTACTGCAATTGCAGGCAGGATATCTGGGGATTACTACATTTTTAGATCAATCTCTGATAATTTTCATATGACTTTACATTGTGTCTCTTCATATAACCTTGTAGTGGGTCTACCCATGTGTGACCTCTGTTTTCATGAAACTTTGTATCAAAGCCTCATATAGAAACCTTGTATTGATGAGCCTTGGTATATGGAAACTTTGTATCAAAGCCTCATGTAGAAACTTTGCATTGCCCTCGGTATAATGTTATAGCCCCTAAGGAGAGAATAAGATAGAAGAAAAATGTCTTTTTGCTAGCAGTAGAACAAGATCTTCCCCCCCACACACACACACTCTTAATCAATTGTCCTGTTGAATGAACGAGGTGTGAATGAGGAAGGCATGGAAGGCAGCACCTCCAGACAGCCTCAACCTTTGGAGAGGGGCTGGGAGCCAGACAAGCAGACATATTGACAGCCTCGGGGGTTAGAAGCAAGCACCTTCTTTTGGAAACACCCTCTTTGCAGCATTGGGACAACACCCAGAAGAAAGCAGCACAAAGGACCAATGGACACAGACACAGATTTTGAATCTGGTATAGATTTGCATGAGAGGGAAGCTGCTATAAAAGTGAGGTGTCTTGCAGAGGACCCCGGGTCTCGTCTTGTCAACATGGGAGCACCAATCTGGATCGGCAGAAGCCCGGCTCCACCCCCTCCCCCATCTAACTCACCTGGCCAGTGCAGTTAAGGGGAGCAACTAACTGGTAACAACAACAAGACGGAGTGTGCGTGTGTGTGTGTGAGAGAGTGTACTATATATATATATATATATATATACACACACTATGCATATGATACAATGTTAATTAATACATGCATTACTAATAAATGTGGCGTTTTGCCTTTTTCCCCCTGAAAAGATCCTGTGCAGTACTTTAAGTACAACACATTAGCTTTATGAATTTTATCGGTACATGTTATATGTATTGTTGTGGGCTAGGGATTGTATTCTACTCTATGGGGGAGGGTTAACACTGCTCCTCTAGGAATTAAAAACAGTCCCTTGACCCTCCCTCATGTAAGACACCAAGTGTAAGCAGAGAAAGGTGCTGAAGGAGGACAGGACCTAGGTGGAAGGGTGCTACTGAAGTGTGGAGACTGGATGGGAAAGGATGCTGTGGGAGGAAATTGTGTTAGTCTGGATGGGAGGGAATCACATGGGGTTGTCGTTGTGCAGTCCTCCCCATGAAGATACTTGAGGCATTAGCAGACCACTGTGTTTTCCTCCAGAAGACATCAGATGAGAAAATGATGGAGGGAGGGTTGGAGGAGGTTTGCATGTGCTGTCCTCTTAAGGATCTTTTTGGAGGTAAAGGGAGTGGGGGGGAGAGGAGACAGGAGTGCCACAGGAAATCATGGGGCCTCCATAGGTTGGGACAGTGTGAAGCCTGGGTTTGAGTCTAATATTGCTGAGATTTTTTAAAACTAATTTTATTCCTCATGTAGTCCTAGAAATAGGGCAAGATTTAAAGAGGGTAAAAAGAGGGAAGGTATGAGCATTCATATAGAACAGATTTAGCTGTTGAGAAGAAAATTAAAGGAATCAAAGGACATAAAGAGAAGAAATTCTTTAATTGCCTAAACACCAATGCTAGGACCCTGGTAATAAAAGGAATTGCTCATTTTTTTAGCATAAATTCAGTCTGGTTGTTATTACTGAAACCTGGTGGTGATTAGAATGTTAAAATCAATGGTTACACCCTATTTAAAAAGGATAAAGTGGGCAAAAGGGGCGAGGGAGTGGCACTCTATGTCAAAAATAACATTACCTGTTTCTGAATCACTGACAACTTAGAATAAAATGATCCTGAATATTTATGGATCAGTGTCCTAACAGATAAAGCACAAGATGGGGTATTAGTTGGTGTCTACTACAGACCAGCAAAACACACTAGGGAACAGGATGACCAGCTCCTTACACACTTACCTATAATATATAGGGGGAAATGCTACATGGTCATGGAGGACTTCAATTTGAGTGACATATTCTGGATGTCTCATGCTGCCAGCAATAAAATATCCTTGGATTTCTAAATAGTATAGATGACAATTTCCTAATTCAAGAAGTGTTGCATCCAACATGGGGGAAACTCTATATAAGACCTCATCTTAACATATAAAAAGGAGCTGGTCACAGAACTAAAAATTAATGGTAGCTAAGCTACAAGTGATCATGACTTGATTATTCTGTTTGCACACTAAATATGTAAAGTCCAGAGCAGTAATATATATACGTGGTACTTTAAAAGGGCTAATTTCACAAAATTTAACACACTTATACCCAAGTCAGGTGGGAGGAGGAATTTAATCAGAGAAATGTGAATGATAATTGGGACTCATTTAGAACACCATACTAAATGCCCAAAATCTCACAACTGAGGAAGAATACCATATTAGTTTAAAAAAAAAAATCTACCTGGTAGAGGAAGTGAAGGCACACACACATATATATTATATAAAAATGGAAAAAATGGAAGTTGACAGTAGTTAATATAAATCAGAAGCTAGGAATGGTATAATATTGATAAGGAAAGCAAAGGGATACAAGAAGATATCTATGACCGGAAGAGTTAAGGACAGTATGGAGTTTTTTAAAGTGTATTAGCAACAACAAGAATCCTAACAATAGTATTGGCCCATTACTAGATGAAAATGGTAGATTTATCAGTAGTAATGCAGAAAAGGCAGAGGTGTTCAATATATATTTTTGTTCTGTATATAGGGGAAAAAAAGATGAGGTAGTTATATCATATGATAACATTCTTTCCATTCCACTAGTATCTCAGGAGGATGTTAAACAGCAGCTACTGAAGTTGGACACTTAAATCAGCAGGCCCACATAACTTGTATCCAAGAGTTTTAAAAGAACTGGCTGAGGTGCTCACTGGACCGTTAATGTTGATTTTCAATAAGTATTGAAACACTGAAGAAGTTCCAGAATACTGGAAGAAAGCTAATGTTGTTCCAATATTTTAAAATAGTAAACAGGATTACCCATGTAATTATAGACCTCTCAGCCTGACATTGATCCAGGGCAACATAATGGATCAGCTGATATGGGTCTTGATTAATAAAGAATTAAAGAAGGGTAATCAATGTAAATCAACATGGATTTATGGAAAATAGATCCTGTCAAACTAACGTGGTATTTTTTTTGATGATACTACAAGTTTGGTTGATAAAGGTGTGTTGAAGTCATGTACTTAGAATTCTGTAATGCATTTGTCTTGGTATTACATGACATTTTGATTAAGAAACTAGAATGACATAAAATTAACATGGCACACATTAAATGGATTAAAAGCTGGCTAGCTGATAGGTCACAAGTAGGTGTATTTCTCATGGGGTCCTGCAGGGATTGTTTTTTAGCCCTATGCTATTTAACACTTTTATCAGTGATCTGGAAGAAAATAAAATCACCACTGATAAAGTTTGTAGATGACACAAAAATTAGAGGAGTGATAAATAATGAAGAGGACAGGTCACTGATACAGAGTGATCTGGATCCCTTGGTAAACTGGGCGCAAGCAAACAATGTGCATTTTAATACAGCTAAATATAAATGTATACAACTAGGAACAAAGAATGTAGGCCATACTTACAGGAGGGGGATTCTATCCTGAGAAGCAGCAACTCTGAAAAAGAACTGGGGATCCTGGTGGATAATCACCATAACATGAGCTTCCAGTGAGATACTGTGGCCAAAAGGATTAATGCGATCCTCAGCTGCATGAACAGGGGAATCTTGAGCAGAAGTAGAGAGGTTATTTTACCTCATATATGGCACTGATGAGACTGCTGCTGGAATATTGTATCCAGTTCTGGTGTCCACAATTCAAAAAGGATGTTGATAAACTGAAAAGGGTTCAGAGAACCATGAGAATTATTAAAGGATTAGAAAATACCGTATGTGGTATAGTGATAGACTCAAGGAGCTCAATCTATTTTGCTTAACAAAGAGAAGGTTAAGGGGTGACTTGATTAGTCTGGAAGTACCTATAAGGGGAACAAATATGTGATAATGGGTTCTTCAATCTAGTTAGGAAAAGTATAACACAATCCAATAGCCAGAAGTTGAAGCTAGACAAATTCAGACTGGAAATAAGACCATTTTTTTAAAAACAGTGACAGTAATTTACCATTGGAACAATTTACAAGCATCATGGTGGCTCCTTTATCACTGGCAATTTTTAAAACAAGATTGGATTTTCTCTAAAAGCTGCGCTCTAAGACAGCAGTTCTCAGCCAGGGGTCTGAGGCCCCTTGGGGGGCTCTGAGCAGATTTCAGGAGGTCTGCCAAGCAGGGTCAATGTTAGACTCTCTGGGGCCCAGGGCAGAAAGCCGAAGCCCCATCGTGTGGGGCTGAAGCCTAGGGCCCTGAACCTCGCCACCCACAGTTCAAGCCTTAGCCTGAGCAATTTAGCTTTGTGGGGCTCCTGCTTGCTACCCCCTAATGCTGGCCCTGTTTTTTATATGCAGAAAAACAGTTGTTGTGGCAGTGGTGGGCAGTGGAGTTTTTACAGCATGTTGTGGGGGAGGAGGCGGCCTCAGTTCTAAGGCGCATACTATACAGGCGGTCAGACTAGATGATCACAATGGCCACGGAACCAATGAAAGCCAAAATGGAGACTATTTTAGCTTGATACAGTCAGAGAGAGTACAGTAACTTGGCAAGTGTAAAATACTGCATATCCCTATAGGTTAGGAAGTCAAAATCAAAGGCAGTTTGCCTTTGTCACTTGAAAAAGGCAAAGCACCACTGAGGTTTTGTGCTAAAAACCAAAACAAGGTAACCTGAGCCGAGGCCCAATTTTATAAAAGAAAGCACACAAAATAATATCCTAGCATCTTAATTGAAGAATTTACATTGCACACTCATTCTCTCAATGCCTACTTCATCTATTAAAAACACGAAGACCTGTGCACATCTTAACAGATGCATACATTAAAGATATTGTTTAGATCAATGAACTTACTAATGCAATAATACAGCAACATAGTGTACAAGAGTGTACTGTGTCACAGGGACTCACTCATTCCACTGCGGTTGCAGTGATTACTTGTCTCTGACTTACCTAAACACTACTGAGCATATACTACAGTTGTTCTGTGTTTGTTGTTTACAGGATAGCTAAAAATATTGTAATCTTTGTTTGTTTGAAGGATATTCATATGTGTCTATGGGATTCCCAGAGCATCAGCTTGCAAAAAGAGCTTGTCTACACAGGGACATTGACTAGCATATCTAGAGCGGAATAACGATTCCACTATAGCTATGCTGGAGTGACTTTGCAGCATGGCCATTCTATTCCAGAGTGTCACTTTTATTCCATAATAGTATGCCCACACAGGGGAGTTATAACAGCATAGCTATAGCAGAGTAATTATTCTGCTATAGTGGAACAGTTAACTCACTATAGCTATTCTAGTCAATTGCTCCATGTAGACAAGCCCAAAGAAAGTCACTGGTATGATTTTCCATTACAGTAAGAGGAAAATTTGATTTTATATAAAACTTTTCCCTTGACTGCTTTGGGATCCAATCAAGCCACTACCCCCCCCCCCCCCCGACATGAAAAAGAGTGTAAGGCAAAGTTAAGGTTTGAGTGCATCTTATCTTTCAAGAATGTTAAGTTGGAAATCAATGTTGGAAATGTTAAGTTTCTCAAACAAGGCACCCAAACTCTGCCCATGAGGAGACAAAAGCTTATTTTCATCATTTCTTTGCATGTGGAGTGTTAAAGATATGCATTACATAACACTGGATTTATGTTTCATAGAGACATCTCCACTGTTACTTTGTTACTACATTAATCTTTGCTTTTTTCTTGTAAGTAATCTAATGTAATAATCTGGGCATGCTAAATCTGCATATGGATCATTTTGTGTCTAGTGACACTTGGCTACATGCCATCATAGAGACTGAGCCTATAAGGTACTGTGCATTTCACATGAAATGTTATGTGCCCTCAGCATTTGACGGGATTAGGTCCTTAATGATGAGTGAGTAAAGACTGCCTTCAATATACAGTTTGTCAAACCAGGAATTTGTAAAATTATTTTATATGTGCTACTTATGACTAACAATGTTGTGAAGTGGCACAACCATTGTATGATTAAATGAACCTTGTTTTTATGGTCACTGTTAAAATGAAGCTTTAGTATGGATGGATAAGGAAGTACAAGCTTTTAATTTTCTAAATGCATCACTATGAAGGCAGAATTAAACAAGATAGGATGCCTCATTTAAGAAGCGCAACCTAACTCTGCATTTCCTTTTTTTGTTTTTACACTAGCATTGTTGAGGTAACATTCACTTAACCCAAATATATATGCCTGCAATCTCCATTTCACCTTAAAGGTTCTGTTTTTTTAAAAAGAAACCTTAGACTAGCTGGAGGAAGGCTCCTTTTTCCTATGAACTGAAGTGGGTCCAAAAATTGGAAGGTCTCCTGGAGGTCTGGAGTGAATGCTAGCTGGGGCTGCTGGCTACAAAGTCTCCAAATAACCAGTGTCCTCACGCCCATCTGGTGAAGAGAAGTCCCGTAACTCTACAAGGGTACACAGAATCAGGGATCCTTTCCTACAGAACACAACAGTTCCCTTCCTCTCAGCTTCCTACTGTACACAGGACTTGGGCTGTCCTCCTAAATTCTGCAGGAATGGTGGTGAGGAATAAAGTGGACTGGAAGGCGACCTGAAGTTCAGAAGTGAAGTAGGGGGAGGAAAAATCTCCTTATCCCTCCTTTTGCTCTCAAGGCCCCATGAAGGGGATCTCGGTCATAGGTGCCTCACTAGTCTCCAGGACCCATTTAGGGTTTCCTGGTAAATGAATTTTCCCTCACCTGCTCATGCCGGCTTCCTTACGCCATGAACCTTAGAAAGCTTGTGGCCTGCTGCCAGTGAACCTTGGGATGCTCATCACAGTCCCCTATTCCCACTGGCTTTAGCAGCTTCACTTGGCCTCCAATTAGCCAAATTAGGTTCCTATGGGACTAACATATGGTGCTTTCTGAATGGGCAGTTATTCAATATTTTATTTTAGCCTCATAATTCAGTGTGGCCCATACACTATCTACTGCACTTCATCCAAAGCAACACAGAATAAAGAATTATTAATTTCTTAAAGGTTTTTCTGTGGTGCTCTCAATGTAATACCTTAGTTCTTTACAAACATTAATGAATTTATCTTCACAATATCCCTGTGAGATTAGACATTATCCTCATTTAACACATGCTGAACTAAGGGACAGAGACCAATGACAAAAATGTCAGAAGTGTCTACTAATTCTGGGTGCCCAACTTGAGAAGCCCAAGACCTGGTTTTTCAAAGTACTTAGTATTGTATAGCAATGAATAGACTCAGACTGGAGCTACCATTGTCATCACTTGTAATCATGAGCGCTTCACACTTCTGCAAATTTGGCCCAAGATGTCTCTTGTTGGGCACCCAGAAAACAAAGCATACCCAATAAGCATCTAACTGTGAAAATGTTGGGTTTAGTAACTTCCAGAATCACAGAGGAACTACGTTCCAGAGGCAGGGATAGAATCCAATTCTCTAGTGAAGCATTCAATTGTCTTAACCACAAAACCACCATTTGCTCGTCCTGCAGTCCCCTGCCTTATTCACAGCACACCTTCCAACTTCTGCAACAAATGAAGCAAGGGTCCTAAAGACCATAGCCTCATTCACTACAAAACCCAGATGCTTCTCTAGAGCACAGTCCTTGTGTGCACTGAATAAGTCAGGAGTCCAGTAGGTTTGGGATGGTTATATCCACAGCACAGTCCTCTGCCACGAGATAATGGAGTAACCAGCAGCAGTAGAAAACTATGTGGACCTGCTACTAGAGGGAGATGAGACAAATTCTGGCAGTGGCTTTCACAACTATTTTGTAGCTAGCAAAGGAATGTTGAATCAAGAATAATGGGTTTAATTCCAATGTGCTGTAATGGTTAGAGCATCTTCTGCTCTTGTTCCCCCTAGCCTCTCCCTATCCCCTTCTGCTCCCATCCACAGCTCTTGGCCCATCCCTCCCCTGATGCCTCCACACCCAACTCCTGTCCCGCTCCCTTATTCCCTCTGTTCCCATTAGTTCCTATCCCCCCCATTCCTTTCCCCCCCCCTCTTCTGTCCTATTGAATCTTGCCCCTGTTGCCCTCTCCTGACTCCTGTTCCCCTTCCACACCAGGTTCTTATCCTCATTACCAACCCTTCTGCTTTTTACCCTTCTGCATTTCACTCAGGCTGCTTCCTCCTTGCTCTTCTTGCAGTCTGAGCACCAGTAGGAGGAGCACTGACAGGAGAGACACTCAGTTCCTGTGCTTTGCACCACAGTAGTATTGGGGTACGTCCAGACTACCCGCCGAATCGGCAGGTAGTAATTGATCTATCGGGGACCGATATATCGCGTCTCGTCTAGACGCGATATATCTATCCCTGAACGCGCTCCTGTCGATTCTGGAACTCCACCAGGGCGAGCGGCGGTAGCGGAGTCGACGGGGGAGCGGCGGCCGTCGATCCCGCGCCGTGAGGACCCGAGGTAAGTCGAAATAAGATACGTCGACTTCAGCTACGCTATTCCCATAGCTGAAGTTGCGTATCTTACATCGACACCCCCCCAGTGTAGACCAGCCCTTAGTAACTGGGAGAAGCAATTACAGGGAAGGTCCTGCTCAGCCCCTATAGCCCTGGGATGCTGCATGCTCAGTGCAGATGGAATCTTCATGGAATTTAGCTGCCAAACTCTAACAAACTGCTAATCACATGTAAACGTT